GGTCAGGCCCCTCCACCTCCTGGAGCCGCACCTCTCTGAGCCTTAGCACGTCTGTCTCTGCCGTGGGCCCCCTCAGGGAGTCCACTCGCTCTGGACCCCCGGGGCCTCCACCCCCAAAGGGACGATGCCCCCCCCCTCCGCCCTGTTCTCTAGCCCGGAGTGACTCTCAGCCAGCGTCACACAGGAGGATTTATTGAGAGTTGAAGCCAGCACAGGAAACTCTCCGGCCTCAGGCCTGGCCTCCCTCAGCCCAGCACATCCCAGTCTCCCTGCATCCAGGGGGGCTCTGCCTGCTCCCCCTCTCCAGCCCAGAGCCCCCCTGCTCGCAGCTGGGCATCTGAGATCACCGGCCCCAGGCCCCTCCTCTGTCCATTGTCTTCTCTCCAGGGAAACAGGGTCGTAAACCGGGGCCTCCTGTCCTCTCCGCCCTCCTCCGGCCCCTCGGGCTGGAACCGGCTGAAACTCCTGAGCTGGGCCCCTGGGTCGGGGTCTCAGGTCACCGGTCGCTGGGGTCTCCGTCCTCCCGGCCATTGGCCGGGGTCCCACATTCCCTCTCCGGTCCTGTGTCCCAACGAACTCCCTCTCCCCTCCCCTCGGTAAACCAGTAACACCCAGGGAAACTGAGTCCCACCCCCTCCGCATGCAAACCAGGGGGCGCTGTGGGGCAGGGGGTCGCTAGGGGGCGCTGTGGGGTGGGGTCAGTAGAGGGGGCTGTGGGGAGTCACTGGGGACGCTATGGGGTGGGGAGTTACTGTGGGGGCTGTGGGGTGGGGGGTCAATAGGGGACTGTGCAGGAGGTTACTAGGGGGCGCTGTGGGGCGGGTGGTCAGTAGGTGGTGCTGTGGGGCGGAGGGTCAATGGGGGCGCTGTGGGGTGGGGTCAGTAGAGGGGGCTGTGGGGAGTCACTGGGGGCACTATGGGGTGGGGATTACTGTGGGGGCTGTGGGGTGGGGGGTCACTAGGGGGCGCTGTGGGGCAGTCGGTCAGTAGGGGGCGCTGTGGGGAGTCACTAGGGGGTGCAGTGGGGCGGGTGGTTAGTAGGGGGCTGTGTGGGGGGTCACTAGGGGGCACTGTGGGGCAGGCGGTCCAGTAGGGGCTGTGTGGGGG